CCCACCTAAGGGGCGTGTAGCTCTCACATAATCTCCATGCCCTCCTCTTCCACAGGCTCAGGATGTATACAAAGTAAGCACCCTGGCTTCCTGCTAAGTCACTTAGCCAAACCTCTAGACTTCCCAAGTTGACACAATGTATCAACCATAGCACCACATTAATTTATTACCTCAGTTTTGGGAGTTTGACAGGAATGCCACATAATTGTCACAAGGTTTACATTTCCCAGAAGTTGTCAGTCAGGTGCCGGCCAGGCAGACCCTGGGTGAACACTGCGGTTGAACGTTTAACTTACTTCTAAGTTTCTTTGAACTATTTGTTCCTATTTCATGACCATGTTTTTCCTTGATAGGTTTTATTGTCAGCTACTAGGGAGGGGGTGAAGGAGGGAGTTCATTTATAGTTTAAGTGAACTTAAGTGTTTCTCTTAAAATGGAGTTACAGAAAAGAAAAATGGAGTCTGTCTTGCCCTATCACCATTACTGACATAGAGGGTCAGATCTTTATTGCTGGCACAAAATACCTGATATACAATGTTGGGGACCACATTATAAATTGAGTTTGGGGCACATCCAACCTTGTCCTTGCCCTGCCTTTTTGGGTCAGATTAGAACATGGAAGCTCCTTGCTGTTTTCTGCTCACAGCTGGAAGCCCCAGGGCTAATGACTGTCCTGGCACTCACAGGGCAAGATAAGAGCTGCTAAAGATGACAAGGCACCAGGAGAAACTCTCATCCTTGTCCTTGCAAGAATGTTTGATCTTCCCAGCCCACTGTAGTTGCCATTACTGTTCCAGGAAACACCCACTACCCTTCACCCATTGTTCTTGACTCAGATGTAATGAGTAAATACCAAGAGTCTGGGTGCCCCCCCCCCGGGGCCTTTTGTTCCTAGAGAGCAAGTGGTCCTCCCAGATCCCTGCTGTGCTTGCTCTGTTTCCTTTCCCACTGTGCACGGTAACCTGGGCAGGAGATTGGAACCCACTACACGGGTCTCTAATAACACACAATATTTTTTATTTTTGTCTTTTTGAGACAGGGTCGCCCTATGCAGTTCAGGCTGGCCTTGAGCTCACTCTGTAGCCCAGGCTGGTCTCAGACTTGCAACAATGCCCCTGCCTCAGCCTCCTGAGTACAGATGTGTGCCACCACACCTGGATAATAGCACACAATTTAAAGGAGGAAGAATTTACTTGACTCACAGTTTCAGAGGCTTCAGGCTGTGTTTGGCTGGCTCCAAGGCAGGAACATCATGGCTGAAGGGCGTAGCAAGAGAAAGCTGCCCACCTCCAGGAAGCCAGGAAGCAGAGAGCAGGGGAACAGCCCTCACATCCACTCAGTTCCTCAAATCCCGTCCCTGGCAATCAGCCTTTGAACACAATGAGACTTTGGGGAGACATTCTGGATCCGAACCATAAGAGAAGGTGCTGAAAGCTAAATGAAAAAGGCATGTTAAACAGGAAGGAGTGTCATGATGATAATTAGTAAAACGAGAGCAGAAAATGTACCATTCGGCTTTAGCAATGTGGAAGTCCTTCGTGACATTTTGGTGCCGTGATGGAGGTGGAAATGTGACTTAAAGAGAAAAGTGAGAAATGAAGACAAGTACAGACAATTCTTTCAAGGAGTCTCTTTTTAAGGAGCCAGCGACAGTGGTTATGTCTTTCTCCATGTACACTCAGCTGTCCGGATACTGGGACAGAGTAAGGGGAGAGGTGGAGCCGGAGTTTGACGAGCTGAGCACAGGTGTGGCGGGAAAGGTGGGTAGGGAGTCTGGCCGGACGGCGGGCAGCGAGGTCACGAGGGGATGGGGCATGGGTGCAAAAGTGGTGAGCTTAGTGGACTGCTGAGACTAACGGCTCACTGGAGCATTAATTTTAGAGAAACTGAGGTGAGGACATAGGAGGCGATGGGCAGAAAGTGCATGCAAAGACCTGAGATGTCTTCATCACTTTCTTCTTACTGAGACACAATACCCAACATCGAAAACTCTAAGGAGGAACGGTTTCTTTTGCCTCACAGTTTGCAGAGGTTTCAATCCACACTCTGTTGGCTCCAAAGGCAGGGAGGATGCCAGGAGAGAACGAGCTCATGGCTGGCCCCAGAGGGAGGCAGACAGCTACCAAGGGAAGAGGGTGGGAGGGAGGTGCGCCCTTCCAGGCCACGCCCCCAGTGATCCTCCTCCCTCAGCCAGGCTTCACCTCCCGAATCACATTTATCACATTTAGCTATAAACTCCTGAGTGGACTAATCCACTCTTGAGTACCACGCCCCGTGATCTGATCACCTCCGCAGCCCCGACCTGTGTGTGCAGGAGGCTCTAGGGGGTCATCTGGATAAAAATTACAACATGCGATGCTGTAGAGGCTGTAGTTTGGGGGCTGTCACTGTCAGGATGTGGGTCTTTCTCTCCCAGCAAGCTAGGACCTCTGGGACTATCACAGTCACCCCAGTGTGAGCAGCACTGGGTCTAAGTGTGACCACAGGAGGGAAAGGCTGGGTGGAGGCCGAGGTCCCTGGTGGAGAGGAGGGCAGAGTACTGAGAGACCTGAGGGTCAAAGGATCATCAATTTGAATTTGAAATTCAATGATGACAGGAGCAGTGTGGGGGCAGCGGTGCCAGAGCTAAAATTACAGAGAGCAGAAATGACCTGGGGAGTTGATGGAGCCTGCAACAAAAATGGGAGCGGATGTTACCTTGTGACTGTAAACTTCAAAGTTAGAGGATTAAAATAGGCGTGGTGGCGCACGCCTGTAATCCCAGCACTTGGGAGGCTGAGGCAGGAGGATTGTTGAGAGTTCAAGACCAGCTTGGGCTACAAAGTGAGCTCCAGGCCAGGCTGAACTGCACAGCGAGATCCTGTCTCAAACAAACAAACAACAACAAAAAAACAAAGTCAGAGGATTAGGGAGGGGACAGAAAGAAGGTGTTTAGAAGTGGTATTGAAGAGCAAAGAGGATCTTATCCCATCTGCAGATCCTGTGGGCAAGGGGGTAGAAGAGGAGTAAACTGTCTCTACTTGGAAGGGCTGTGTCTTCAGGGGAGAGCAGAGGGTGGTTAGACCAGGAAGATAAAAGGAAGCTTCCGAGGGAGTTGAGATGTAACTGTCAAGGAACGCTCCAGGCGCTTCCCATCCCTGCCCTGTCTGCCCGCGCCTCCGCTCAGCCTGGTCCCAACTATTATGGACAGCCATGGTGTGGGGCCAGTCTGTCTCCTCTACTTGACTGGCAACCCCAAGAAGCAGAGCCTGGCTCTATTTCAACCCCAATTGTGTCCCCCGCACTGGAACAGCAGGTGCTCGCTGAGTACTCATTGGCAGTGCCAATTCGAGGCCTGCAGAGCAAATTAGAAGATGAAATACCTCAGAACCAGCAGTGGTGCCAGGATTCCAAGACATAGGGCTGGCAACCCAAATTCACACTGCATTCTGAGTATTTTTGTCCCTTAAAAAAATTAGTGCAGCACGCTGGCACATGCCTGTAATCCCAGCTACTGAGGCTGAGGCAGGAGGATCTCATGTTCAAGGCCAGGGTGGGCAACTTAGTGAGACCTTGTCTTGAAATAAAAAATAAAAAGGACTGGGGATGCAGCTCAGAGGTAGAGTTTCCTGGGTTCAATCCCCAATACTGAAAGGAAAAAAAAAAAAGAAGGCCAACAGTATAACCCATAGGAAATGGGTAACATTATCCTGAATTGGACCTGTCTGAATTATTGCACAGCTCCTAGAAATCCAGAATAGAGTCAACTACTTCATCCCATACTTTTTAGAGTGTAAACAGATTTTCCATCTTAATGTCTAAACAAATTTCCAGGAACGTTCCTATGCAAATTGGTGGCATTGTGCAGTTCGAATATCCTTACAGAGAACTCAAAACAGTACCGGTTCCTCCACTTAGCCAATAAACATTTACTGAGCTTCCCCAGGCCTGTTCTAGGCCAGAGCAGCATGGCAGTGATGGGGATAGACTCCGCATCTTGGCTACAGACCCGTGGACTCTCCTGAAGGTTTTCAGTA